TAGCGGATACATGGCCTCCAGTTAATTACGAGTCTTGAGCCGCTGACGGGACGCGCACGTGTGTGATATCTGTCAGAAAGGTATTATCGTGCCTACAGATCCCAAAGTGCTATAAGCGATGACTTGACGGGAAGCTCTGTTGTGTCCTATAAGAATTATGGAGTTTGAGGATTGAAGGAGTAATCGCGTGGCGTGGCTATTGCGTAAGGGCGCTGAGCTCTGCTCCTTGCTCGGGTGGTGCAACAATCTCGGAATATCGCAAGAAGAACTAGTTGGCTCGCCGCGCTAATTGCCCTCTGGTCTACGGTTCACGTACGTTTACGCGGCTTACGTAAAAATCCGTGTGTGGCATTCGGGCATTTGGTCGGCCCAATTTTTTGCATTACGGCCTTCTCGAAAAACATGCTCCTCCGCTGCTACACGGGATCCCCGAGGGGGGTCCCCGTGCCACGGTGTCACAGTCGTCATCGCAATCATTATGATCAGCGCAGCGTAAGAGGAAGGGCAATTACTCTTAGTGTCTCTGGAGCGATGCAGCCCACAAGTACACGAGGAACTTTGATGAGACCGTGGAGAACGAACTTACCGCCGATCTGCCTTCTGCCATTTCCAACCCCGATGGGCCAAGAACCTCCTCTTGCCTCGCTGTCGCGCAGGGGTAGTCCCTCTCGTATAGAAAAAGTTCCAACGAAGATGCCAACTCCCAAGTTTATCCGGGCAAGTGTCGAGTGGGCGTCAGCGAATCTCGTTTTCTGAAATTCCTATCGAAAGGTCGAGGAAAACACGAGGAGACGCGACGGCCAACCGCTTTATTGGCAAACTGAATAATTGCCCGGGCAGTTCACGGATTCGCGAATCGAAGTGACTCGCCACGGCGATCGGCGTCGATCGCAGATGCGACGGTGATTCGAAGACTGGACACTGTGGACTCGGTGCGTCGGTATTCAAAGAACGAAAAGTTGCGCGGGGATTGAGTAGCAGCAGGGGTCGAGTGGGGGCAGAAGAGCGCGGGTGGCCGAGAATACTGAGGATAAAAAGAGTCGCGAGGGGACGACGGGTAGGAACTGCTGGAGGACGAGGGCGGCGAGGGTGGCGAGGGAGGAGACTCGGGGGAGTGAATCGGAGGTAAAAGAAACACGCATTGTTGTCAGCCAGCAGGCTGATAGTTATGGGCCCGTGGCAACCTTGTCCCAGTAGCATGCGTGCCCATCTGTCCGCTCGGTTGCTCTCGCGTGGCATAGCTGAACCTGCTAAACCTGCCATTCCTGCCAATCCTGCCATTCCTGCCAGGCCTGCCAGGCCTGCCAAGCCTCCTCCTGAGTCCCTGATAACGATGATTCCTCGATGATCGTGTCGTCCTCCTCCCGCATTCTGATACGCACGAGAACGCATCCTGACGCAGTGACACGTGCAACGGTGTCACGGGAATTCCTGACTAGACACAACCAGGCAGCTGCAACAACGTAGACAATGGAAACGTAGACTCTGGAAAAACGTGTGGGCGAACCCTGGCACGTAGAAACACGAAAAGGACGCACTGGATGGCCTAAAGACTGTGGAGAGAGGGAGATTCCAGAGTATAGAACCAAGAAGAAGAAGAAGAAGAAAATTCCATAACCCTTTGTGGCATAGAGTCATTTGGTATTTAGGCCTCACATTATGTAACCTTTATGCCAATGAACGACCGTCACAAATGAAAACTATTTTGCTCCGAGGCTGCTGGCATTGGACTCGCATTTTCCGTATGCGAGTCGCGTCTTTCTCGATCACTCTGTAGACCGATTCCGGCCGTCACGTACCTGCAAGATTAACTATTCAATATCGACGGCAGGACGATGTGTCTATCGACTCACGCGCCAATACGTGGCGGCTATCGCGTACTACGTCCGGTGTCCGTTAGTTGCGAAATGCAGGAATTGAGAGTGCGCCCAGAGGTCAATCCTCGGCCGCCTGTATTCAGTGGACTCACTGACAAAGCGACAATTTATAATGCAGCAGCGACGAGACCTTAACGCGCCCTATTCCTCGAACTCCACTCCTCCTGCGCCGTGACGCGCCGTGACGCGCCGTGACGCGCCGTGAAAACGAGGTGCACTCTCCATTACCGCGAGCCCCCGTCCCGAGCGCCGAGGGCCTCCTGCGATTAGCGCAGCCACCCGTCCAAGGAGGAAGAGCAGCGGCGTCTCTCGGTGCAAATGATGATGAGGGGG